ACGTATGATCGGTATTTCTAGACGAATTCTGGACTCGATGATTGCCGAGCTAAGACCAACACGACTGACCCACGAAGTCCTATCAACACTGGTGGCCGAGGTGACAGCTATCGTAAACAACAGACCGCTAGTAGCCATCTCAAGCGACCCCTCTGCACCCGAAATTCTCACACCATCTACTCTCCTGACGCAAAAAACGGCAACACTCAAGTCAACCCCAGGAAATTTCGTACCCCAAGACCTCTATACCAAACAGTGGCGGCAAGTACAACTATTAGCCAACCGTTTCTGGTCCAGATGGAGAAAAGAATTCCTGCCGACATTACAATACAGGCGAAAGTGGACAACAGACGTTCCAAATCTCCAAGTGGGAGATCTGGTCCTCCTCCGATGCAAAGAATCGCCGAGAAACGATTGGCCGCTAGCTCGCGTCTCGAAGACCCTAAGCAGCGCGGATGAAAAAGTTCGAAAGGTAGAAGTCACGACAGCAAAGAACGGCTCAAAGCAAGTGTACACCAGACCAGTGACAGAACTGATCCTGCTAAAAACTGAATACGAACTAAATTCGTGTTCGTGACTCAATAATAACACTTTAGAACGTTAAACGTAGTGGTATTTTCATACCAGACGGGGAGTGTTCTGGCCACTGTGGCCCCTAGATACTTTCTAGATAGACTTTAATATTATTCACTCGTTTTCGCGGTATTTTTCCGTAATCGCATCTCATTAATAGCGAGCCAGGGGGTATTTTTAACGGTTTTTCTCTGGCTCGGTTCTCACGCCTGAGTGAGCATTCTTTTTTTACAAAAAGCGAATAAAAGCACCGTTTAAACTTATTCGTCTGTTATACTACTGTGGAAGGGGACAAGGCCTTTCCCGAAGGAACAGAATAATGTTTGTCGGTAACAGTAAGTTCCACTGCAATAGTCCCTAAATTATGCACTAGATTATGATATGTGGTAGTGAATTATAGTTGTATGTCATTGTATATAGTAACAATTAAGATGTCTTATTTTATTAAATGTGGGGAACGGTTATCGATCAATCCCACGTCCGAAGGTATAGAATTAATTTTCCGCTTCTTCCCCAGCTATATTTGTGAGAAGATCAAAACGCCTATACATTACATCACGCGAGTAGAATCCCAGGAGGGAAATATATATATATATATATATATATATATATATATATATATATATATATATATATATATATATATATATATATATATATATATATATATATATATATATATATACTGCCTTCAGCTACCAATGGGGAAACATCAAGTGTATATAATTCATCTGCTTCGCTAGGGAGTTCAACTACTATTTGATCTTCAAACGAATCAGCTGACTGAACATATGCCACATACCATCCTGGTTTCCATCCTGTGTCTTTAATTTCGTCTGCAGACCACCTCACCTTTACTTTAGTTCCGATTTCAAAAAATGCTTTGAGGTTTGTTCTCACTGGCATATCCTTTGAGCAACCGATATTCTTTTCATTTAAAAACTCTGCCCCCTTATCTCTATTTACTTCCATTCTAATTCTTAGATAGCTTTTTAATTTTTCGAATATTTTATGCAAATTCTTAATTTGGGAATTATTGGGAATAGGATTTTTCACCTGTTGTGTAGAATGTGTTCGTTTTCGATATGTATCCTCCGGATATCTCAAGTAGTCCTGCCTTTCTTCCAAAACAAGCTGTTCGGCATCGTTAATAGTATTAAGAATTTCCTTCTGCTGGTGGTAAAAAACAAGATGATGGTATCCTTTTCCTACAAGATACAACCGAAGAATAATTTCGTCTCGATTGCCTATTATTGTGAAGCCATGATTTCGTAATAGTCCTTTGATTTGTGCTGTTGTCAGGTTTTGAATTTCTTTAACAGTTTCAGGCACGCTTTCTACCTTTAACTGACTTTCGGTTGGTGGTGTGCTTTCTACTCCCGCTTCGTACAGTCGCTGAACGAGATGATGTTTTAAGCCCTTTGTCTGCAGTCCTGCATTTTTGCACTTCTCTTGTAGTTGTGACATCGAATTTTTCTTGTACAATGATGTTCAGTACTGCCAAGAAATAACTTGTCCCCGCGTCTGCCCGCGTCCTGCCTCCAGAGCGCCCGCGTCTTGCGTCCACTCTGCCCGCGTCCTGCCTCCAGAGCGCCCGCGTCCGGCCTCTAGTTAAAAACTGCGTCCGCTTGGACGCAGTCGTCGTAACATAATCGGAAAAACGAACTAATATTTGCATCATACTCGTAGTTTGTCGTGAGAATACAGATCAGTGTCACTGATCGGAGAAGCAAAGAATAAAACTAGTTGAATCCGAAATCGAGTTTCATTTAACCTAAGCTTTACACTTAGTATAACCATTTTATAATGTTATACGTTATACTACAGTAAGCGTAGTGCTTTCACAATGCAATCACACGTAATTGAGTCGCGATTGAAGCGTATATGACTGTATATTGGAGCGTAAAATAGACATAAACTATATATAAATATAATGTAGCCACATATACTAAACTCAGTGAGATCACGACTACAACGAGTATATATCTCGCAACACATTCATTTGCTACTCAAATTCAGACTTACCTCGTAGAAGATTGCCGATTAGTTGATATGAAATTCTGTATTTGAATAATGTTATGTCTCCGTAACTCGTCAGTATATTAAAACGAAGATGCTCATTTACAATATACATAGTGCTTTTGATTTTTCATATAAAATGCCATTACTACGAGCCACTATATAATTTTATTTACAGCAACAAGTTTGTGTTATTTTTTCAAAGCAGTAAATGCACATGGTGATATGTCATATAAATTGATAATTACCATATAATTTCTGGATAAATGACTTCTCTTAATCCCTTAATGGAATACCTTTACATGTCCAGGAAACAGTCTTTGTGTTTCAACACGGTTCAATGACTGTGACTCATCGCTTGATTTTCAAAGTTGCAGTATAATTCGCTAAAGCTGAAGTGAAGAGTTCAGACTAACATCACTCGATCCGTATTACTATCAGACTAATGAAATGAGGGATAGATCGCTAACTTGTCAACCAAAACGTATTTTGGGTTTCTTCGAAGAAGATATAAAACCATACGTGCATTTTGCCAACCGGCAACGTTAAAATATTACTGGGTTTAAACCAAACGTTATACGAAGGTGCGAAAGTAGAGATCAAATACGAAAAGGAATTTTACGAAGCACAAATTCTGGAAATTCACGGTAAGTTTAATGTTAGAAGTATAAATATCTAGGATTCTAGGTCTGCAACGCTTGTGTATAAGCATAAAACGCGGTGTGAAATCGCTAACATGAATATTTTCCGACGCCCACGGTTTGTTTATGAAAAGCGAAACGCGATAATTTCCGACGATCTACGAATAGAACTCTTTCTCAGCTGCGTCCTCGCCCGCAGACGCAAAGCGGACGCATGGCGCCCGCACAGTGGACGCACCCGCAAGCGCCCGCAGACGCACAGTGGACGCACGATGGACGCACGGCGCCCGCAGGACGGACGCACCCGCGGGCGCCCGTGGACGCATAGTGGACGCAAGATGCCCGCGTCTTGGACGCGGTTTTTGATAAGTTATTTCTTGGCAGTAC